TTGAGGCTGCTACAGGAGAAAGAAATGGTGATTGGATTGCCAGAAATCAAGAATACCAATGAAGTGTGTGAAGTGTGTATTCTTAGGAAACATTACAAGGATTCTTTTCCAAGAGAGACAACAAGTAGAGCCACTATTCCACTGGAATTGGTACACATTGATGTTTGTGGACCAATGCAAACTGTTACAAAGGCTGGAAATAGGTACTTCCTCACTTTTATAGATGATTGTACTCGGATGTGTTGGGTTTACTTTATGAGATACAAATATGAAGTGTTTAATGTCTTTAAGAAGTTTAAGGCTATTGTTGAATTGCAAAGTGGGTATAAGTTGAAGAAACTGAGAAGTGACAGAGGATGAGAGTATACATCCATTGAGTTCAATAGGTTCTATGAAGAAATGGGAATGGAAAGGCAACTCACTGTGGCATACTCACCACAGCAGAATGGAGTGGCTGAAAGGAAGAACAGGACCATTGTGGAGATGACTAAGTGTATGATGGTTGAGAAGAAGATACCACTGGAGTTTTGGGCTGAGGCAGTTAACACTGCAGTATATGTCCTAAATAAGTGTCCAACTAAGGCTTTGGACAAGAAAACTCAATTCGAAGCCTATAATGGAAGAAAGCCAGGAATTAAGCATTTAAGGGTGTTTGGTTCTCTGTGCTATGCACATGTTCCATAACAACAAAGACAAAAGTTTGATTTGGCTAGCATAAGATGTATGTTTTAGGGTATGAAAGCTGTGAGAAAGGCTACAAGCTTTATAACATTGAATCTGGAAAAGTTGTTATTTCCAGAGATGTAGTATTCAATGAGGAAGCAAGTTAGGATTGGAAGGCACAAAAAGAATGCAGTATCTCAATTCCACTCACTGATATGCTTACTGAGAAAGAAAAGAAAACTAGTGAATCAAGTCTGACTCAAACTGAGATTTCAGAAGGTGATGATGAAACACCAGAAAATATTGAAGAAGTACATGTTGCAATTGGTGCTGCAGGAGATAGTCAAAGTTCAGGTCCACAGGATGTTGACCACACTCCACTGAAATATAAAGCATTGCAGAAGTGTATGAAAGGTGCAATTTGTGCATCATTGAACCTGAAACATTTGAAGATGCTGTCAAGGATAAATCATGGCAGAAAGCAATGGAGAATGAAATTGCAATGATAGAGAAGAACAATACTTGGGAGTTGGTTAGTAGACCATCTGATAAACCAGTAATTGGTGTCAAATGGGTTTACAAAACCAAGTTGAATCTTGATAGCTCAATGCAGAAAAACAAAGCAAGACTAGTTGCAAAAGGTTACTCTCAAAAGCCTGGAATAGACTTCAATGAAACTTTTGCACCAGTTACTAGGCTTGATACAATTAGAACATTGGTTGCTTTTTTTTTTTTTTTTTTTTTTTTTGGCGAACAAACATTGGTTGCTTTGGCTACACAGAAAGGGTGGAGACTATTTCAATTAGATGTGAAGTCAGCATTTTTGAATGGAGTATTACATGAAGAGGTATATGTTGATCAACCCCCTGGATTTGTGATTAAGAACAAGGAAGATAGAGTTTACAGACTCAAGAAGGCATTATATGATCTTAAGCAAGCTCCAAGAGCTTGGTATGAAGAAATCAACTCCTATTTCACTAAGGCTAGTTTTCAAAGAAGTCCTAGTGAAGCAACATTATATGTGAAGACTGCTGAAAGTGGCATACTCATTGTTTTTCTATATGTGGATGATATCATCTACACTGGAAGTTCAAACAAATTGATAATGGAGTTCAAAACTGAGATGATGAGTCTCAATGAAGCAACATTATATGTGAAGACTGCTGAAAGTGGAATACTCGTTGTTTCTCTATATGTGGATGATATCATCTACACTAGAAGTTCAAACAAATTGATGATGGAGTTCAAAACTGAGATGATGAAATAGTATGAAATGACTGATCTTGGGTTGTTGCATCACTTCTTAGGTTTAAGTGTGATACAAACTGATTCTTACATCTTCTTACACCAGAAGAAGTATGCAAAGACATTGCTGGATAAGTTTGGTTTCAATGATTGTAAATCAATTGCTACCCTTCTTGCAGTGAATGAAAAACTATCTAAGATGGATGCAAGTGAACAAGCTAATGAAAGTCTATATAGACAGATAGTTGGGAGTTTGCTATATTTGACTGCAACAAGGCCAGACATCATGTTTGCAGCAAGTTTGTTAGCTAGATTTATGCATGGTCCTACCAGAAAACATATAGGAGCTGCCAAGAAAGTACTTAGGTACATTCAAGGCACTCTTGATTATGGTATAGCATATGAGAAAGGGAAGGAAGCAATGCTTATTGGCTACTGTGATAGTGATTGGTCAAGGAGTAAGGATGATATGAAAAGCACATCTGGATATGCATTTAATCTTGGTTCAGGTGTATTTTCGTGGGCATCAATCAAGCAAAGCATTGTTTCATTATCCACTGCAAAGGCTGAATATGTCAGTGCAGCAGAAGCCACTGCACAAGCAATCTAGTTGAGATTTGTTCTCTCAGATTTTGGTGAAGAACAGGTTGAGCCTACAACAATTCTATGTGATAATACATCTGCTATAACCATAACCAAGAATCATGTGCATCATCATAAGACAAGGCACATAAACAGACGATTTCACTTCATTCGAGATGCATTACAAGCAGTGGCGGAGCCAGGATTTCGGATTAGGAGGGGCCTCTCACAAATATTAAAAAAAATTAAATCGATAGTAGTTACAAAACTGTTAACCAAAACATCATAGTATGTATATGAAAAGTAACCAAAATTCAAAATAACATAGCATTGATAATATTACATATTCCCAATAATTAAAATAATTGTCCTCGACGAGTTTTCATATTTTGAAACCGTTGCATGATAGCCTCGTCCTCTATACTATTAAAAATATCCTTTTCAATATAAGCAACCAAACAATCGTTCATCCACAAATCACCCATTCGATTGCGTAGGGTGTTCTTAACAATATTCATAGCAGAAAAGACTCGCTCTACACTTGCTGTTGCAACCGGTAAGATGAGTGCCAGTGTCAAAAGCAAGTACACTAACGGATAAGTATGATCTTTCTTGGTTCCAACCATCTTTTGTGCAAGATCACTAATTCCTTTCAAATCTGCAAACTCACTATTAGAGGTCATGTCCCAAATATAATTCTCAAGCTGTTCTTTGAGTAACTCAAGATCGTGCTCTGAAAAATCACTTGGATAAAATTGGGCAAGACGCATCAATTTTTCTTTGTCAAAGGCAGAGAAAGAATTACTTGGACTTAAACATGCCACACAAAGAAGTAGTTCAGTATTCTTCTCAGTAAATCGATCATTTAACTCAGTGAGTTGTTTTATCTATGACATCGGTGAATAAATCAACCCGATAATGGTGCACGTTTGTGATGGGATGAGCTTTTCGGTTTGGTCGCTCTCCACTCGTAAAAATATCATCCATGCTAGGAATTTTAATACAATTCTTGTCACAAAAGGATGAAACTTCATCAAATAAGGATTCCCAACCACTTTCTCGCATCCTTTGCAATCTTCCTTTGCATATATTGACCAAGTTCATTGCATTCACAATATCTTGATCCTTCTTTTGCAATGCCTGCGATAAATTGTTTGTGATCCCCAAAACCTTTTTCATCAAGTGTAGACCAAAAATAAAGTTGAAAGATTGAATAAAAGTCAATAGAACCTTTGCTTCAAATTTTTTTTCAGAACTTGTTCCATCTTTTCTTACAATCTCAAGCACTTCTATCGTTGATGAGAACATGTGAGCCAAGCTGATTAAACAATTATAGTGAGAGCTCCATCGCGTGTCACTAGCCCGCTTAAGAGTAGTTTCTTGATTCAAACCTTGTCCACTTGAAAGCTCGTTATTTTTCTAGTGCTTCCAAAACTACATGAGCATGTTTTCTCTCTAAGAATATCACGACGCTTAGAAGATGCCACCACAATATTCACCACAGAAGAAACCATAGTAAAGAGATCTCCAATTTCAGAATTTTTTTTTTGCCACTGCTACTAGAGCTAATTGAAGTTGATGAGCAAAACAATGAACATAAAAGGCAGACTCATTCTCATTTAAAATTAGTGCTTTAAGGCCATTGAACTCACCTTGCATATTACTTGCCCCATCATAGCCTTGCCCACGCAATTTTGATATGCTCAATCCATGTCTAGAAAAGAAATCATCAATGGCTAACTTGAGTGAGGAAGCTTTAGTATCTGCAACATGCTCAATACCTACAAAGCGCTCTATCACATGAGCTTTATCCACAAAGCGCAATACAATGGCCATTTGCTCCTTTGAAGACTTGTCTCGTGATTCATCAACAAGAATGGAAAATAAAGAATCATTAATATCACTAGTGATTGCACTGATGATTTCATATGAAATAGCACTTGAGATGTCCTTCTGAATATCAGGTGATGTCAATTTCAAATTTTCAGGAGCATTTTCTAGCGTGACAGCCTTTATACCCTCATTATAATGACGTAGCCACCGTAGAATTTCAAGAAAGTTTCCTTGGTTGAGTGAATTTTCAGATTCATCATGCCCACGAAATGGAAGACCTTGTTGTAAGAGAATTCTACTAACACCAACTGATGCACCTAATCGAGTTCGATAATCAATTCGATCTTGGTCAGTTTGTTTTGAGATAACTGTTTCAATATGTTGTTTTTGGTTTAATAAGGCTTCACAGTTTCTCCAAGCATTATTATGAGAACTATTAGGTCCTCCAACATGAATTTCTAGTTTCTTCTTGCACTTCCAATTCTTGAATCCGACTCCAACAAAAGTATCCCCACCAGATTGATCTCCAATATCAGGTTTGAAGAGATAACAACATAAACAATAGGCAGCATCCTGTGATGTGCTATACTCCAACCAATTAGGAAATTGAGTAGTAAACCAAGCAGGATTGAACCTTCTAGGCTTTGTCCCAAAATTTGTGTAGAGAAATGCATGGGTTTTTGGTTGACAAGGTTTATTTTGGAGATAGGCTCTTCGAACTTGGTCTCGAACATTAGGATGATAACTCAAAATCGGTCTACGCAATCCAGGATCATACTGGAGAGTTTCCGAGTTAATTTCCATAGAATCCACACAAGTTTGTTTTGAACTACTTTCATTGTTCTTTGGACTCTTTGGAGACGGTTCTAATATCTCAGGTTGTGTTTTTCTTTTGAAATATCTTTCCATAACTGAAAAGTAAAAAAACATAGATTGACTAACTTTAAATTAAAAGAAATATGAACATATATGCTAATTTTACAAACTAAAACAAATTAGGCAATAGTTAAGAGAAATTGCAAGACATCAATTTAATCATAATTTATAAACAAAAAATTGTAACAGGAATTGAGAGTAAAATACATACTTTGGGTTGTTGACCAATTAACTAAACTTCAATGTCTTTTTTATGGAATGATGGAATAATTGAATTCTTTAATCTGCAAAAAAAATATTATTTGTTAAATTAATTTACAATTGTAGATGACAACATATATGAATTAGCAAATTATAAAAAAAAAAATTGAAAATGACAACTATGAAGATTCGAAGTTCATACTCTTGAGGATCATGGAAATTGAAGACTGATAGATTGATAGACTGGTTGAAGACTGTGACATGCTAGATGAGAGAAGCAGTGTACGGCTTGTGTACCACGGGAGGGATCAGACTGAGAGAAGCAGTGTTGAGAAGGAGAGAGCTACGGGAGGGAGAAACGAAGAAGAAGAAGAGAGAGATCAGAAAACATAAAAAAAATAAACAAGGTGGGCCCCACGGGCTCACCAATTAAGGCTTTAAAACAATTTAAAATATAAAAGAGGGTAGGGGTGTTTCAAGTGTTATGACTATTTTTTCAAACTAGCAGCAGAGCAACAGTCGGCTAGAATTAGAGAATAATAAAATACTAATTTTTAGTATTGGGAAAATGAATGGAAGATGAAGTGTTGGAAGTTGGAATAGGTTATAGGTAGGCTTTAGGGTTATTTAAAGAGGGCCGGATATTCTTAAAATATTTAAAGAGGGCCGGATAGTTTGTCTAGGAAATATGAATGATTTAACTGAAAATAATAAAATAATAAGTAGTACTAATTTTTAGTTATAAACAAAAGCAGGATGGGCCTAGGACTACTGTGGTCCTATGGTCCCTCCGCCCCTGATTACAAGATGGGGAGATTGATCTACTGTACTGCAAGACTGAGGAGCAAGTTGCAAATATCCTTACCAAGGCATTGGCCAAAGATTGGTTCGAATACCTGAGAAAGAAGCTTGGAGTAATCTCAGCACAACACTTAGAAGGGAGTGTTGGAATATAAGTGTTTGTGCTAGAGAAATATAAGCATAACTTTTAGTATTTCAGATTTAAATGTGAGCCATTGATTATATTCCAATTAGACAGCTGAGATGTAATCTTAGTAATAGTAGTGTGTGTTGCCACTTGTAACTATCTTATAGGATAGATTACATGAATGGTGGAGATTGAACTTTGTAAGAGAGAATCTCTCTCTCTCCTCTCAACGGTTTTACTCTTGCACATGCTTTGAGTGCTGTGTGGGAATGAATGAAGCAATTTTTTGCTCTGTGTGAATATCTTGTCTGCAACTCTCTGAGATTTTCCAGAAACCTTTCATCTCTAGTTTTGCTTCATTCCTTACAATAGAGATCATAGTCTCTAGATTCTAACAGCCACGTAACCCTCACCCGCCATGCACGCCACCTCTCCACGGTGACCCCAAGGATGAAATCTGGGTTTTTTACTTGGGTACCAAGATTCCTTTTTTTTTTTTTTTTTTTTTTTAATTCAGGATTTTGAATTGGGTACCCAAGTGAGATTATGGTTTATGGGTTTTGAATTTCATGATTTTATGGAGTGTTCGGTAATGGTGGTGGGGTTAAATGAACATTTGAAATGATTTGGGGCTGAGTTAGGATGACAGAGTCTTGAAAGCTTGGAGCTGAATTTGCATGTGTTCATGGCCACCATTTTTGTTCAACCAAAAATTTACAGAGAGATAGAAGCAGTGGTGAAGCAAGAATTGTAAGGAGGAGGAGCGAAATTTAAAAGGGTAAAAGGTCCAAAAAAAATTAGACATTTAAATCGTTTAGATAGTAGACAATACTAATGTCATTCATAATTTATCAAGCCAATCGTATTACAAACTACGCGTAATTGCCTACAAATTCATTAACAAACTAAAATCCATTATCAAACTGTAAAATAGAAACTACTGCCCTCTTTTGTAAGTAGCATTGTGCATCTTTCATTAACTGATCATATTGTAGAGTAATCTTATATTTATCCACCTCCAAGAATTGACTCGGATAACACTGTAATTAAGCTAGGTTTCTAACATATACGTGGCTCTTAACATAAACAGAGGATATTAATGAATATGACATCCTAATGTTAAATTTGCATTTTATGTAACCTTCGAATTCATAGCATTCGGGAAGCGGACTAGAAATGTTTTGACTACTATAATGCACTTTTAGTATAAAAGAAGTATTCAACAGCACATGGTGCTCAAATGGCTGGACGGTAGTGGCACGAGGAGACTCTTGAAGGCCTTGCTGTTGATTGTCACCCTCTCCAATGGCAGAACAAAGGTTCTGCAGCCTACTGTTGCAGGTGATCTGTATGATACTTTGGTTTTGAACCAAAAAAATTAAAAAATTAAAAAAAAAATGCTTGAATGGTGTGAAGGCTGACTGGTCCCCCTTTAGTTTTTTTTTTTAACCAACAAAATGAAACGGCGTCGTCTATTAAGGACTATTGTAAAAAAAAAATTAATCACTAAAATGAAACGGCGTCATCCCTGTTAAGGGTTTTTCAGGAAATAAATAAATAAATAAAATACTCTGCTACCCACCAGCAACAACAGAGACCTAAAAAACCAGACAACTCCATGAGCAACCATCACTTCCGATCGGAATAGAGGGGCGGAACCATTACTACTGGGCTTAATTTCCGGCGAAGGGAGGGGCGATTGCCCCTCCTTGTCCCTCTATAGCTTTGCCACTGGATGGAAGGGAAGGAATTGAGGAAGAAGAAGGGTGAGGGTGTTGGTAGGGAGTTGGTCCCACTTTTTTAATAAAATATTTAATTAATTTTTATCTTAAATTTTTTAATATTTAATTAATATTTTTATCCAGTTGGGTGAGGGAGTAGGTCTTGTCTCAAGCCATGTCATCATTTAATAGAGAAATTGACAAACAAACTAACGGAAATTTGACATTGCAACAAATTTGTTAGATAAGATACGACATTATATTTTTAAAACATGAGGTATGAGCTTGTGATTCGACCCATGGTTGAGGTAGTTTTGTGTAATTTACTCTTAAAACATTTATATTTCATACATTTAGTTTTTATTTTTATTTTCAATTCATACAACCGTTATAAAATCTGTTAAGTTAGTCGTTAAGTGATGACATGTAAACAGTGGGTTCTACATTTGTGCTGACAATTAAAATATATTTGGATAAATTACATTTGCACCCTCAAGTTTGTGTTTAATTGCAACATCGTGCAACATCTTAAAACATTTCAATCTCATGCATTTACTTATTATTTTATTTCAATGTCATACATCCATCTCAATTTCTGTAATTTTCTTAATCATCTACCTATGAGAACGTTGGCAAAAACAATTTGGCTAGGCCCCTACCCGTTGCACGCGTCTAGTGCCTTTTAGAATCTTGACAAAAAATAATTATTTTTTAAACCGGTCGGCTTTATGAAAAATTGCAGGTTGTCACAATTGTATGGCCATTGGGCTTGAACAACACAAATTCGGTGACCTAAAGAACGTGTGGCCTTTAAGCTTCATACATGAGAGAACTTGTTCTAATGCCATAAAGAAAATTGAAGTTTTACTGTAAAATCAATTAACATTATAGAAAATAGTAAGTACATGCAAAATCAATTATTTTCTGAATGTGTGATTAATACTATCAACGAATAGAAACTCCAACTATAGAGCTAACACACGCTAACCACATCTTAGGAAACCAGCTTGGGATTAGAAATTAACCTCTACTCTCTCAATGACAATCTACCTTCAACATAGATAGATTTATTCATAAAAATTGTGTCGGCAGACGAAACGTTTGATTATAGAAGACCCAATATAAACAAATGAAATTATACGTGGAGGCCATTAAGCGCTCCACATGTGAGTAATGTCAAGTTGCGAACTTGATGATCAGTTTGGACATTTCCTTTCATGTTTTGTTTTTCCCAATGATGGCCTGTACTGGGCTCGGGCTGTTTCCCTTCCGTATGTATCTTGTCCATATCACTTGCTTGGTTCCCGTCCTTTTATCTTTTACTGGGCCCTTCACGTCCATACGTGTCATGCTTATGTCTGTTGTTTGGGGGCCGTTTCTTTTCTCCTTTACTGGGCGTTTCACGTCCCTATGGTTTATGTGCATAGTCTTTCGTTTAGCCCCGTCCTTTCCTTACGCTGTATTTGGTTTCCGACTAGATATAACTTTTGTGTCGTTTTTTTTTTTTTTTTTTCGTGTCATTTTTGTAACATATCAATATTTTAAAATGTTGTTTTATGTAATACTTGTTAAAATAAATGGGTAATATGATCTGGACCGAACTTGACCCGTAAGTTACTCATTAATGAAAATATATTTTACTTCAATACATAATCAAATAGATAATGTAATATTAAATTAGTATCTACATATCACAATGTTACATAAATATTACTTCAAAATATAAAAACATATTTGTCTTTCAAATATTACATACCTCAAAATAAGAGCCTAATGAACCATAAATTTAAATTTAACCATTGATTGTTGTTACGTTTACTCTTACACTCCATTCTTCTCACCAAATTTCATTTCTTTCAGATATTTTTTTTTTTAAATATGCCTTAGCAGATGCAGAAATATTAATGATTCGGATCGTTGATATAACATTCAGATTTTTACAGTTTGTAAAAATACTGCTTGAAGTTTATAAAGTTTCTAGAAACTATGTACCATTGCCTCATTTCAATTAATCGTAAACAGCAGAATGTGATATCAACGATCTGAACCATTCATTTTCTGTATCCGCTAAAAAAATCATGTTTTTAGAAGGGAAAAAAAAATCTGAACAAAATTTGGTGAGAAGAATATAGCGTAAATGACAATCAACCGATTAAACATAAATCTAGAGTTAATGGGTTGCGATGTCGAATTTTGGAGTTGATCCCTTGACAAAAGTTGCAAAGCATGTCATTATGAGCAATTGTGTGTATATTTACATTTTTCACACTTCTATATTAATTATTATTAGTTTGTAATTAAAAAAAAAACACTAATCATGAGAGTTGGGGGGTTTTAAAAATCTAAACGACGATGTAACCATTGTCTAAGTGTAGTTGGATGAGTATGTTTTTTTTTTCTTCACATTTTCACACTTGTATATTAATTACTATGAATTTTTAGGGTCGACCAATCTATTTTTATCATCTTTGCATGTCTATCAATTATGTGATTGTTCATGGTGTGAAGTTTATTCCTGATTGCTCTTAGGGTTTTGACACTCAATCCTTTCTTCTCTTAAGATCCGACCTATCCCACGCAAGGCGCTTACTATCCTTCCTGTCCTTTGGTCTCCTCCTTGGAATTCTTGGATTAAACTTAATGAAGATGGTTTCTCTAAAGAAAATTCCGATCCTGCTGCTTATGGAGGAGTTTTTAGGAATTGTCATGGTCGTTTTTTTTTTGTGGTTTCTATCAATGGATTGGTCATTGAAACTTTTTTATTTTTTTTTGCAAAATTATTA